CACTGAAAGGGTATTTTTTATTATTATTATAGAACACTATACTTGACCATGATTGGTACTGCCATATACTGATACACAAAATAATTCAGATGAAAGCACATATCACAGATACTTTCTTGTTATAAAAAACACCTACGGTATACACAAATATCAGATTTGCTGACTATGTCACTGGGAAAAACAAAAAAGAATAATAAAGGATTGACAGACTCCGAAGCTGATCACATAAGGCATCTCTTCACATTAGCTCTGTCGATGGGGAGGGAGTGACGTTCAGACTGGCAGATCATGCCATTCAGCAAAGATGACTTTTAGTCACATGAACAGCTTTGGAATGAGCCCGCAGCAACGTTTTCTCCTGGAAATTATTTTAGCATTTTTATTACTCTTTTTATTTATCCAAGCAACACCGCTAACACTGCTTACATAGCTGCAAAGAGAAATTCCCCGCAAGAACTAAACCAATAACCAATAAACCATAATACAAACACTGCCGCTGTGCTAAATTCAGTTTTATAAATGGGGACCGTAGAGTGTTCATTTAACTGGACATTGGAGTATAGGATGATGAAGTAGAACGAAAGCATAAAAACAGATTTCAAAAAAGCAAAATGCAAAACAGGGCCCAGCTTGAAATTGATTTCAGTTTCTGCCTAAAAGTTTAATGTGATTAAATTATCTGTGTACATGAAAATGTTAAATTAGCCACTTTTTCTAAATGGTTTAAACAGGGCTGCCCCTATAATGAAGCAGCCGGCTTCTCTTAGGGTCACGTGGTGGGGGATGATGTCAGGCAGAACATATACATACTCTGATGTAACTGGTTCATAGAAGCTAAGAGAGCTAGGGACACCCCAGGACCTAATGTTGAAGTTTAATATGCATATATTTTGTCTTCCCTGGTTCATCCCCCAAAACTATTTTTTTTTTAAAACCGGTTTTCATTGGTTACATTATTTTAGACTCAGTGATGTAATTACTGGGTTTCTATGCTTCCCTATGCAATGCAAGCGGATTATGGCTGGTGGGAGGGACTGGCAGGATGCCGTACATAGCTTTCTGAAAACAATAGAGCACCCTGTCCCAGGGATGCAAGCATTGGACTGGCTCTTGGGAGAAATTATACAAATTTCAAAATGCCTTGATGGGTGAATGTCAGTGTGAAATAGGCGTTCCTTGGCAGACTGTCCTAGGTAATGCCCACATATGATGCTGAGCCTCCATGGTTGAAAGAACAGAAATCCAATGAATGAAAGAGATGGGCCAGCAACAGTCAGGCTGAGGAAGATAGCGCTAGATGATACTCGACGCACTCCAACCAGGAAATAAGGCGGGCTCTATCTGACATGCTGCAGCTTCTAATGCACATTGTGAGAAGATCACAGAGTGCAGTGAAATCAGAATAATCAATTTCAGTCCAGGAAAGGAACCTGTACAACCGTGCAAGACCGAAGGGAAGGCCAGAGTTCTGCTTTAGAGCTTGTTTCCACCAGTCCGCGTGTCTACTGCAATGTCCTGTGCCCGGAACACAAGGGATCGCATACATAAAGTCTCCTTGCGTTCTGGAAGGGGGGGGCCTAGCAGTGCCATTCAAGTCAATGGCACTGAAGACATGACCCCCCTCCCCCCGCCGTACGCTCCGCCACACAGGAACGCGTAGTAATAAAATGCCCTGAGTACCAACCTGGGGCGATGGCAAAAAAATAGTGCATGCAAGGAGCCTTGATGTATGGGATCCCTTGTGTTCTGGGCACGGGTCATTGCGGCAGACGCGCAGGCTGGTGGAAACAAGACCTTAAAGTCATTCAACAAACCGATTATAGCGTCTCCAGCCGACATTGGCGTGTCCCTAGGCAGCTGTCAATCATTTACAACATCAATTTTTCCAGAGAAAGCACTTAGTACATCTTGGGAATGGAGGTTTTTTTGGCTTTTTTTTTTTTATTACTCTCAGTGCTGAGGAAGACAGGCCAAGCAAGCAGGTGACGTTCATTCACATTTCAGCACACATACACAGCAGCTGTAGGGATAGATTCACATTAAACATTTCTGTTTGGGGGCTATAGTAATAGCAATCCTACAATTTACATTGTAAAGCGCTGCGCAAACAGTTGGCGCTATATAAATACTATGTAATAATAATACAATCATCAGCACAGAATACAGACTATGCCGATGTATTTATAATTATTGCACTGTTGGGTTAAGATGAAAATATCACATGAAAGCATAAAAACAGAACAATGGAATCCAGTGATTAAAGCAGAACACAATACAAAGTTACATATAAAGCAGAAGTAAAGACAAGGAAACAAGAAACAAACTAAAATGTGTTATACGTGTTTAGCATATCTAAAGCCAATATACTTTGAGGGGAATTTATCAAAACTGGAGCAGACAGAACCTGGAATAGTTACCCATGGCAACCAATCAGCTTCTCTATTTTATTTGCAAAGCTTACCTGCACAAACTGAAGAGAGAAGCTGATTGGTTCCCATGGGCAACTACTCCAGATTCTGTCTGCTCCAGTTCTGATAAATTCTGCCATTTGTATTTGTTTTGGCTGGAGTATGGAATCTTTTAAAACATGTGTTGTTGCTTTTTTTTGCCATCTGTGTCCTATTGGGGAGATTTCACTTCACTTCCTGTTCCACAGACACAAGAAGAAGTGGGAGGAAATCTACCCAAATGGCAATCCCTTCTTAGACAGTTGTTACTGCAACAAGTGTCCTCTTTGGAAGACTTCCCCTCTTGTCCTGTTCTGGTAAAAATTCAAACTTTTGTAGTTTGTCTCACTTTCAGTCCCGGTGAGAATGATCACAAGGAGAAATAAGTCAATCTTCCTAGCGGGGACACAGACTCTATAAAAACTTGAGTTCTAATCCTTTTACTTTTCATTGAATTTGCAATTGAGTTATTAAAGTAGAACTGAAACTTTTTTCTAGTTTTGGATAACTCAGGGTTATCTCCACTGTCAGCCTTTTTTATGCCATCTGTGTCACATTGGGGAGATTTCCCTTCACTTCCTATCCAATCGCCACAACAGGAAGTGAGAGGAATTCCTTCAAAAGTGAGGAAAATCCCTGGTGGTCAGCAGCTTTACCAGAACGAGTGTCCCCATTGGAAGATTTCCCACCTATTCCTGTTCTTTCACTTTCAGTGATAAGTCACCAAGACCAATAGAGAGGGTGAATCAAATGAATGGCAGCCCAAAACACATCAGCGCATCAGGCGCGCAGTACACTATGATGTGAGATGCACTAAATGAGCGGGTACTGTGACTTTAGCGCCAACAGCACATCCTGTGTGGTAGTTTGTCACCTGCACTACATACGGCTAAGTAGGCCTTTCTCTTTATGAATAGCGGTGCTCAAAGTGATGACACTGATGGCGCCGTGTTCTCACAATACGGATGAAAGGAATCGCCGGAACTGACAGGATGCAAAATTCTTGTTCATTTTTATTGAACGTGCATCAATCAAATCAATGTTGCGGGGTCCCTTCCTCAAGGTGACATAGTGTTCCTTTCATCCGTATTGTGGGGACAACACATCTAGCATGCGGCGCATTGCACTGTGATAGCATGTGCAAAATTTGCGGCTACAGTGGCTTTGGCACAACGCTATATGGTATGAACCTGCCCTTATAGTTCCTCAGCAGCATTTAAAAAAAAAAAAAAAAAAAAAAAAAAAAGGATTTGGATTTCGCAGTTGTAACCAAATAGGAAATCCTCGAACTGGAAACAATCCCTTTCTCTACTCAAGATTTCCTCCCTCACCATATTTAGATCTCATGCATCTGCTATAGACTGTTCACTAGAGCACATAACTATAACCCCATTGTATGGGGGGAGTCTCTAATCAATGGACTGACTTCACCGAGGAGGATACCATATAACATTAGGGAATGTACCTTCAAAAGCTCATTACCTGCTTGTTTAAGTATCCTTTGCTCTCCGTGTCAGCCAAATCCCAAACCTGTACCGAGACAAAGGACAAGGGGTCAGTTCCAGTGACTACTAACACTCACACATCCGCAGGAAAGCACAGATACTGTACAGACATTTACATTTCCCAAGTCAGCAGAAAGTAGGTTTACCAGCGAACAAGTAAAGAGCATTGTTCTCTTTATAAGGAAAAACTGAATACATCATGGGACATTCCGATTCCATTAAACCAGGGGTAGCCAAACTCCGGCCCACCAGCTGTTGTGAAACTACAAATCCCATGATGCATCTCTCTGGCTGTGAGAATCCTGCAATGCCTCATGGGATTTGTAGTTCCACCACAGCTGGAGGGCCGGAGTTTGGCTACCCCTGCATTAAACAAACATTACAAGTGCAGAAAAATGCAAGTTATTCCACTTACCCCTTATGGAAAAAAATAAACACTTCATACTGCTAAATATTTGATGGACTGTTGCTTTTAGGAAGCTTCTTCATTTTTAATACTGAACGGAAAGAAAGGAAGGGAAGGAGCGCAACTAACTGGTGCAGACTTTGTGGAGGGGGATTGGCCAGGGAATAACAGTGAATCGAGGTGAAAGTGTATTCCCTGGTCAATGGCCCTCCACAAAGTCTGTGCCAGTTAGTTGCGCTCCTTCCCTTCCTTTTCTTCCGTTCAGTATCTCACAGCTAGACACCTCGGTCTAATAACACAAGGAGCCGCAACACACCACACTCCCCCCCTAGGAGTGCGCTAACCAATCAGTCTTCATTTCATTTTCCAACGCTTCATTTTTAATAGGCTTGCAGTTCTGTACTCAATATATAATTCAACAAGCAGTATAAGCACCTGAATTTGACTTTGTATCAGTCACTTGTAATCCACTATACAGTACAAGCCAGGCTGGAAAAGGGAGAAGCGGCAAAGAGCCAATCTTGTTCTGCTGCCAACAAGTGATTTGCTGAAAGGAGGCGAGAGCAGAGTGACAGAGAGATAGGCCTATTAGTCTGCTGTGCTTCTTCAGTCAAGTCACAGGCTGGGGAGGGATAAGACTTAAGAGAAGTAAAGCCAAACCTTTTTTTTGTTTACTAATGTGCTCCTGTGACCCAAAGTGAGCATACAGCAGGCTACTGTATTCTATATGCCGACAGTGCAGAGCCGTGCTGCACCCAGGAAAGATACTGACAATATTAACTGATTGACAGCTGGCTGGCTTAGAGCTAGGGCAAGCTGCACGTGTAATAGCTGCAGTGTCACATGGCGGCTCAAGGTACTGAAGGAACTCAAGGAATACATTTTACTCTCCCAATACTTCTCCCTATGGCCTCATTCACACAAGAAGAGGCCGGCATGTACAGCTCCATGCTGCGTGCACGGCTGTGTCGTGCAGCTCCCGGGAAGGACAGGTGCTGCGTGTGATTAGAACGCAGCCCCCTGTCTTTCTCTATGGGAGAACATGGCCGTACGCCGCCCTACGCTTGTGCGGGTGTCCGTATTCGTACGCTGACAGGATGGATCCTGTCTGCGTCCAAGCCGGGACACTATCCCCCGTTTGTACCTGCACTTAGGGTGAGCGTAGGGCGGCGTATGGACGCGTACTACCATAGAGAAGGACAGGGGTTAGGTACTAATCACACGCAGCACCTGTCCTTCCCGGGAGCTGCACGATACGGCCGTACACGCAGCACAGAGCTGTACCTGCCGGCCTTTTCTCGTGTGAATGAGGGTTTAACTTCAGCAGAGAAGAAAAAAAACGATCTTTGAGGACTGCAGTGTAAATCTCAAGACGACAGATAAAACAGTTCTGATATATGTAATATGCGTCTTTAGCCGTTTGTCTGTACTTTAGATTTAACGTATTAAAATAAAACAAAAAACCCCCCAAACATTACTTTTTTTGTTTTAATTAAATCACATCACAGCACAGGGCTACACAGCAGTGTGTTCAGACGTCATTCTAAATAAATGCCACCTGAGCACACCGCTAAGCGGATCATGTATTGTGTTAACGTACGAAACAACGCACATTTTGCAGTGCTTTACCACAATGCACAGATCAGTATGGGCCCAAAAGACGCTTTTTGAGCGTTATGCGCATAAAAGAAATTGCGCGTTTTATGTGAGCAGATTGTAGCTCATTGAGGTTATTGAGCAAATGCACAAAAAACGCAAAATAAACCTCTGCTCATTAACCTCTGAACAGTGAAACCTAATACAAACCTGATTTTGTGAACAGACCAGAAAAAAAGGTGCTGCTTTTTCCCTTTTACTTTTAGTCCTGGCTCCCACTGAGCGTTTTGTAGCGCTTTTTCTGCCGCCCCGCCCAAAACCCCATTAATTTCCATTTCACTGTTCACATCTAAACGTTTTGTCGCAATAAGCAAAACGCCTGTCATTGGAAAAAGTACAGGAGCTTTCTTGTGGCATATTACAGCTCGTTTTGGCCCCATAGACTCAATAGGAAACGCACGTTTGCTGTTTTATTTTGCGTTTTTTGTGCATTTGCTCATTAACCTCAATGAGCTAAAATCTGCTCACATAAAACGCGCAATTTCTGTTATGCGCATAACGCTCAAAAACGCTGATGCGTAGGTGTGAAGGGCAAAAAAAAAAAAAAAGGAAACAAAAAATGTTTCCAGCATAAAATACAAAACAAATCTGCATCTCACAGGAAAAATTGTTATGGGAAACACACCTGGATACATTTTAAAGGGAGCTAGACACCAGGGACAAGCTTAGGTGTAACCTGTGTCAGCACAAGTTAATAAATAACAAAAGTACGAGGAATTTAGAGATGTTTACTAAAGAAATTTGAGGTTTTTGAACACACACACACGTATTTTTTTTATCACTTGCCTTGCCCAGAACCAGATCCGGGAGACCAGACTTCTTCAGAAACACAGCAGCATCTCCAGCCAACACCTTCCCAGAACCAGCGGACTCCAACTGAGAAAGATATACATGATGAATAAGGCCAAATGCCACATACACTTTACCTCTATGAAACTAGATCAGTAACTGTTTTCAATCATTTCAACTTCATTCATTGAAGGGTAATTCCACTTTCCCATGTGAATTTTGCAAAATGGAATTACCCCATCCAATCTGGCCCCTTCTCCCGATCATTTTCTCCATAGTTCAGCTTTAAACTCATTTATTGCAGTCTGTGTCCCCGCTGGGGGTATTTAGTTCAAGTGAAGGAAAAATCCAAAATTTTGAGTTATCACCAGGACAGGAATAGAGGGAAGTCTTTCACTGAGGATACTTGAGGTGGTGACATGACAACTGCACAAAACCAATGACAAGTAGTAAAGCTTTGGCTCTAAATATACTATTAGGCATTTTTTTCCAAGTGGCCCTAGGAGAGTTCAAACCAATAGGCATGACATAAGGGTGGGGGCACTCATATGCCTTGCACTTTTAAAGGATCTCATCTTGCTTTACTTGAAATGAAGGACAATGCACCACAAATGCAGCACAGGGAACCAATTCCAAAGCTTGTTGGTGGGAACAAGATTCGAGGGTCCATGTATTTAGCTGGCCATACACCCAGTGGTGTATTCTGGTTTGGGGCTGCCCTAGGCAAGGCAAAACTCGGGCGCCCCCCCCACTCCCACTAAATTTACCCTACCCCTTCCTGTTTAATACTTTTTGCGTAACCTGCCAGCCGCTGGATACAGTGCACACGCTGTATCCAGTTTTTGACATGTTCCGCTATTAGCGTAGCGGCAAAGCTGTGGTCTCAGGGGGGCTGTGCAGGATCTGTGGTGGGCTCTGCAGGGTCTCAGGGGAGGCTTTGCGGTATCTGTGGTGGGCTCTGTGGGGTTATATAATGGGCAGAGCACACAACAGACCCTGCAGAGCCCCCCACAGATCCTGCACAGCCCCCGAGGCCCTGCAGTCTGCAGGGTCTTATGGGGGCTGTCCAGGATCCGTAATGGGCTCTGCCCACCATAGACCCCGCCAAAGATCCTGCAAAGCCCCCCTGAGACCCGGCAAAGCCCCCCCCACAGATCCTGCAGTCTTCCGGATGTCAGAGGGCTGTGCAGGATCTGTGGTGGGCTTTGCGGGCTCCAGAGCCCCCTACGTATCCTGAAAAGCCCCCCACAGATCCTGCAGAATCTCAGGGGGGCTCTGCAGGATCTGTGGTGGGCTTTGCTGGCTGCAGAGCCCCCTATGGATCCTGAAAAAGCCCCCCACAGAACCTGCAGAGACCCTTCTGTCTTCTGGATCTCAGGGGGCTGTGCAAGATCTGTGGTGGGCTTTGCAGGCTGCAGAGTCCACTACGGATACTGCAAAGACCCCCACAGATCATGCAGATACCCACTGAGAGCCGGCAAAGCCCCCCACAGATACCCCGAGACCCTGCCGGATCTCAGGGGGGCTGTGCAGGATCTGTGGTGGGCTTTGCAGATTGCAGAGCCCCCTACAGATCCTTCAAAGCCCCCCACAGATCATGCAGAGAGAGACCCCCTGAGACCCTGCAGTCCGCTGGATCTCAGGGGGGCTGTGCAAGATCAGTGGTGGGCTTTGCAGGCTGCAGAGCCCCCTACGGATCTTGCAAAGCCCCCCACAGACCCTGCAGAGACCCGGCAAAGACCCTCACAGATACCCCGAGACGCTGCCGGGTCTCAGGGGGGCTGTGCAGGATCTGTGGTGGGATTTGCAGGCTACAGAGCCCCCCTAAAGGCTGCAGAGCCCCCTACTGCAAAGCCCACCAAAAGGTATTGCACAGCCCACCTGCGACTCTTTGGTGGGCTGTACAGAACCTATGCTGGGCCCTGCCAGCACAGTCGTCCTCCTCCTACCTGGCACGGTAAACATAGCCCGAGCCTCGGCGACGCCTCCCCCATCGCGGTGTCTGGTCTTGCATCCTCCGTTGTAGTCTTCGGCCCCGCCTCTTCATCTCTGCCCCATCTCCCCTGTCTCCGCTCCCTGCCGCTCCGTCTCCTCAGACTTCACCCGGCCTCTTCCATCTCCGCCCCCTGCACTGCCGATTCGTCCCCGGTCTCCTCCTGCTCCCCCACCAGCCGCTTCCTCCCCGTTAACATTAGGCAGCCAGGCCAGGAATCTGCCGCCCGAGGCAAACGCCTTGTTTGCCTCGTGGCAGATACGCCCCGGCATACACCTTACAATTATCTGCAGATTTTCTATGGTCAGATGGAAAAGGTGCAACAGATTCCTCCATCTACACTTAACTGTGTGGATGGAGTAATCTCCACCTGGGCCAATCTGTTGCACTTTTTCCATCTGACCACAGAAAATCCGCAGATAATTGTAAGGTGTATGGGCACCTTTATCCCTGCATTTGAAAATGCACCTGATGACAAAGAGCCTTTTTTAGAGGATCCTTCATGTGTGTTCATTTTTATAAGAAACAAAATCATAGGGACATATTTCATGTGTATTATTTGCCCCAAAAGCTTTTATTATCTATATTAGATAGCACACAGCCTGTCAGAAGCCCCTAGGGGGTTGTGTCTCACGGCTGAGAAACTTGGATTTTAATAAATGCATGTCAATCAATACACACTGCTTCCCATAAAAAAAGCACTGACCTGGAGGAAGTATTTCTCATATACAGCATTGTTACTCGGGATCTGAAAAGGGAAAGCAGAATTTTTTTAATGTTAAACATGGATTGAAGGGGCAGGATAGAATGGATTGGTAAATTCAAGATAAAATATAGACACACAATGCCCTATATGGGGTCATCCCACTGTACTGTTCCTTTAAACCAGTAAACCGTCAATAGGAGCCACGTATGCAGTTCTGTTACCTCTCTCCACCCTGCAGTAGCCATATATACATAACCCCTCAAACTAGGGATCCCAGGAGCCCCGTAGCCAATACTCCTTAAAGGGTTTCTAAACCCTCCGTTTTTTTTTTGCATATATCTACTGCAAGCACTGAACTTACAGGACCCATGTTAGGTCTATGAAGAGTTGGGTTTAAACAGACATGTGTCCATTGACATCAGATTATCCCCAATTTACCCCAATCAGGTGCGCGAAAAAGGAACTCTATTACGTTTGTTTTTTAAGAACCTGGTCCCAGACAGAGTCGGGAGGTAATCGGATGTAAATGGACGCAAATCCGTTTAGATCCGGCTGCCCATAGACTAACATTGAGCTTCCTGTTGGAGAGGGGGCTGTAAGGCAACTACCACATTTATGGCCTGGCACACTGCAACATATTATATTATCGGGGGTTTAGATTCGCCTTAAGAGCAATCTCCTTTTACATCTACAATGAGCTGTAAGTAACAATGGGTAAGCATTCTGTGAACCCCTATGTGGGTATTGGTCCTATAAGATGTGTCAAAATCATGACTTTGTACCATATATGTAGCTTACAAGTGAAGTGATGACTCCCCTCAGGAATCCGCTTAAAAGCAGATCTTCACCCATATCTTCAAAATAACAACAAAGACACCTTTAGAAATGACAATCTACAGACACATACTTCTAGATAATTGTCGGCTTTGTATTCTTGGCATACCTTATTTCTCTTTTCTTCCCCAGTCTTCTGGCAAAGGCCATGTTTACTAAGGGCAGATTACTAGCTCTCCTATTACTTCTTGGATTACTGGCACATGCAACTGGACATGTGACCATGCACATCATCTCAGGGGAGGAAAATGCCTTTCCCTGAGATCTCATGAGCTACCAGATGAGATTTCCCAGCAATGCTCTGCTGATGACAAGGCAATCCCAGAAGTCATTTTGCCCTTTCAAAGCAGGAAGTGAATGCTCTGCAAGTGTAAGTATTTCAGAATCGCAGCATTTACACCTGACATGTCCATATTCTTATTAATTATCATACATAGAGGAACGCATTGGTAGAATTTTTTTATTTATTTTTTAGTATACAGGTCCGCTTTAACAGGGCTTTTATATCCGGCTGAGGATTCCTGTTGCACGAATCAGTGGACTGGAAAAACAGCATTACACAGATACATTTGATTATAAAAGTGTTCCATGAACATTCCTCAATTACAATGAATGATATCACCCACACAGCAATAGGGTAGGCTTCTATGACAGCATCTGATAGATGGTAACAACCAGATGACACCCGGCACTGGAAAATGACAAACAATGACAAGTCTGATTGGTTGCTGTGACAATACAGACAGTTCTTCCTTCAAACTTTTTGATAAAACAGAACCGGTGTAAGAGAACGTTTTCTATATACCCATACATCTCCTGACGCGGATATATTATTATGCAGCCTTTGTGCGGCAGACATATTATTAATACTAGGTTAGGTATAATTCAATCCTGGAGCCAAATGTTTACACCAAACACAAAGCAGAATCTTAGAATGCAAACAATAGAGAAGTCTGGACACCAATGTGAGAGGCTGAAGGGGGAATTATCTCACGCTCTCATGCCACATTTCCTGTAAAAATCTAAGAGGAAAACGATGCCACCAGGAAACCGGCGAAAGAAGAATGAAGCCGACAAGGGCCGACAACGTTCTGCTGATTCAGCCTTGGGGTGGGGGACGGAAGACAATGTACTGTATATCACACTAGAAGAGAAGACTTTTTAAAAACATTCCTTTAAACAAAAGTTCTGGAACTTATGCTGGTGAAGTCGTGTAAATCTCTTCTGATTCATTCACAGTGTGTCGTGTCTTGCTTTGTGCACTTAATCCGTTATAGTGCTGCCTTGCTACGAATGTCCTTGAAGTAATTCCAAACAAATGTCCTCTAAGTAATTCCTACTTATTTTTTTTCTTTTTCTTTTTATTTCATACTGGGGAAGGGGGGGCTTTGGGGAAATATCAGGGGCCTAAACAGACCCCTGACATTTCACTTTTGAAATAGAATAAATTGAGGACACAGAGTCCTCAATCTCTTTCTGCAGCCCCTGATTTAAATGAATGGAAAGCACTCACTAGAGAGGCTTCCCATTCATTCAGAAACTGATGGTAAAATTTTAACTAGCACCAGTTTCTGAATGGGTAGAAGCCTTTATAGTAAATGCTTCTCCTCATTGAGAAATGCATGAATAAACAGGAAGTGATGTATAGCACTTCTTGTTCATTCATAACTGGGGACACATAGTACTATAGGTCTCCAGTTGTTTACAAACATTGCAGTGGTTGCTTGATACTCCAATGTTTGTTCTGCCCAGAATATCAGTAAATATCAGAGACATTTACCAATCCTCTGCTCGGTCACGCGCAGAGATGCTGTTATACTGAAACTTGAAGGATGGCAGCGTCTCTCCTCCCCGTGGCTTCTCTGCACACCGCTCGGCCATCCTGAAAGCAGGCAGCGCTCCCTCCAGAGGTGGGGGAAAAGTAGTGGGGATCCGAGGAGAAGCAAGGAGCGGCTCCAGGCAGGGAGTAGATGACAGGTGCCGGCGGGGGGGGGCTTGGGGGGTTTCACCCGGAATTTTCGTTACTAGCTCTCATCAGCGGCTAGTCAGCTACTAAATTGACCATTAGTTTAGAGCAGAAGGAGAAAACCACCAACGTATGGCATACTGACTTGGCCAGCTGAAGTTGTGTTCCTCCGTGTGCCATAGGTCGGTGGCAGCGAAAGGGTGAGGGCATATCAAACGATAACCCTTTTCAATGACAGTTACGCCTCCACATTGTACTTAGAGATGATCCTGTCAGCTCCAAAAAGGAGGAGTTTCTGCTTTTACACGGAAACATCTGAGGACAACACAACTTTCAGTTTTCATAGCTGCCAAATTTTTGCTAAAAAAACAGGCACACCCAGAATGTGGGCGGCAGATCTATGAAAGTGGGACAGAGTGTGTAAAAACTCAGGTGGAGGAGGCAATTCACCATGAATGTCAATATTATTGTGAGTCACCAAGTCAGGTGAAGAGGTTCAGGAGCAATGCAAAGAGGCCGAAAGAATTCCTCTCTACTTTCTGGGATATGAAAGAACAGCAGCAGTCTACTGCAAACCGCACAGGCAAAAAGATACGTCCTCATTATACGTAAACTGCATCTGGTGCCTGGAGCTGGGTACACACTGTCAAAGTTTCAGATTGCTCCATCCATTCCAACTTTGGGGATGAACAAAACTCCCGCTGTGTACGTTGGGGGGAATTTATCAAAGCACAAGCGACAGTTTTAGCCCCTTAGATAATTTTTTTAATGTGCAAATCTATCTTTTAACAAGCGCCTGTTTTGACCTGAGCTTGCACTACTTTTCCAATTGCGCGTGTTTTGCGCTGGTTTTCATCTGCAATTGTCCTGCAGCTGTCTGAAACTGGAGCATCACCTAACAAAACAATCGCAACTTAGGAAGTCCCCATGACCACTTCTTCAAGAAGCGACTGTTAAGCTTTTTACCTGGAGTTACGAGTCTTCTTTCCTGCAGTCTATTAAACCTAATTTATGAGCATTACACTAGCATCATAAATCTGGCGCAAAGTGCGTCAAATATATTCCGCGCAAGTTCAAACACTCGCAATTGCTATGATAAATCCCCCCAACTGTATTCTGACAGTGGCGCCGGCTGGCCAAATTTTTGTTTCTAGTCTTGGATGGAGTGGGGATGATTTAGAACTGCTACCCTGGGCTTGGTTAGAGAGACAACAGTTTTAACAGACAGGACGTGAAAGAATATCTGTCACAGGTACATGGAAAGATAAAAACAACTGACGGGGTTCTAGCCTTCGGCTGCATTCACATTCCGTGCAGAAGACCGTACGGGACGAAAACGCTAATATTTTTACATCCGCACGGATGCCGCTCGTTTACGGCTATTAAATAGCTGCAAACGCGTGGAATCCGCCGGATTATCGAGCTTGAACTAGTTCGGGGGCCGCGCGGTTTCGTACTGCGCAGCCCCCGCAAATGGTGTGAACTATGCACATTGAAGGACATTGAATTCCCTGTTTAGAGCGGCTCCACGCGTATCCGTACAGCCGAATATGCGCAGACAGCCGCTCAGGTGTGAATGGAGCCTTCTACTCCACTAAAGAAAAGGATTTTTATTTCTGTCTGTGTTGCTGAAGATTTCCCCTCACTTCCTGTCTGAGAAAACATTGTCAGAAGGACAGGAAGTGAAGTGGAATCTCTAACGGAGCCCCAGATAGCAGTGCATTTTTGACCGGGGGCCTGATCATTCTCCACCTTATCCAAAACTAAGAGGAAGAAAAAAAAAGTTTTATTTGGATTTACGATACAACTGCAGTAGAGTAAAAAAAGAAAGAACTTCCACATTTCTTCATAGAAGAAAAAAATGAGCATGTAGTATATATGTTTTTGTGTCGGAGCCAGGAAATAATTGCAACCGTGATCAGTGGATGGTGGGTGCAATGCCCTGGCTTCTGCAGACTATTCCTCCAAGCCCTATCTGTACTGAGTTAGAGACATTCAGTAACATGGATGTGAGGAAGTGTCAATGAACTACAAGTGCAGTGTCATCATTAAGAACTACAAGCCCCTTTGCTGCACTGACTGATGGGACCTGCAGCTTCTCCACTCACATATCCTGTCAAAGCATCTGTGAATGGATGATGCTGCTGTGTGGGCGCAGCCATGCAGAGCCGCACCTAAGTAAAAAATGTAAACAAGCCTGCGGGCAGGACCCTGCGAATTAGGTAAGTGGGGGAGCAATATG